GGGATTGGGTTACCATTGCTCCTTTGATATTTAACAGTGAACTTAAAATGGTCTTGAAATAAACATGAACTATGAATACCACTCTAAGTGTACAGAAATGACCGATATTAAGCGTATATAGAAATGTGAAAGTATCAATTGCCGAAACGGCTAATAATAAGTACTTATGCGTCACTCTATACTAAGAGAAAAGTGTTTGATATTTATGGCTATATTTGTATGATGAAATAATTAGAAACTCAATTTTTGTGATAATTACTGTTATAATGTTCGTAATAATAACCATTTATGCATAGTTCGCTAAAAAAAATTATATTATAAATTATAATAATAAATTTCAAATATTAATATTGTTAATGAAATATTATGTAAGTAGTAAATAAAATAAATATTTTTTTATTCAGTCTAAATGCAATCGTAATATTAGTGAATACTTTTAATTCACTTATTACTTATATGGTAATATCTACAAAAAATGTTAAGATAAAACTGAAGATTTTCAAGTGCTCTGTGTGACTATTATTAATAACACAATTGACTATGCATGGTTAACAATCATAAATATACAGTTATTTCAAAAAATAATAAATTATCATATATTTAAATTATAAATGATAAAATTAATAATTGTAAATATATTTAAATCATAGTAATTGTTATTATTATTTTTTTCTAAGAGTACAATGTACACATAGATCATTTTATTTTTTATGTACGACACGTGGCGTTGTGTTGACGTGGCCGTCTGAATATTTACAATTTCCTCCTTCTCTTCTCTCTTACGCATCTGATTATGATAATTAATTATATAAATCCGGGAGATTCAGGTTCGAATCCGTGAGGCAATATTTTTCGCAGATTTATTATTCGCTTAAATATGATCATTAATACTCTCAGGTTGGTATTCACAATTCATTCTTATTATAAACTTGTCTTAATGTCTTGTATTTGAGATTATACTGTCTCTTAAGTACAAAAGCTTAAATATAAGAATTGACTATGAATACTGGTCTTATAAAGATGCTTATTAGCACTAAAAATTATTAAATTGCTTGTTAATTTAATAAGTAATATTATTAGGTACTTCAGTTTTTCTTATGAATACATTTCAAGACCGAAAAAAGATTTCAACTCCAGTTTGCAGAAATGTATACACTATATAAAAAATACAATATTAATTTTAACTTACAGTCGTATAATGGACTTTCTGAGACACGCAAAAATGTTAATTACATTTAATTTTAACATTTTTACATGTCTCAGAAAGTCCACTATACGATTATAAATTAAAATTAACATTTTATTTTTTACACACAATGTATAAATTCACACAGAAATATTGAAGCATTACTCAAGCAAAACAACAAGTCACAATAACGTCAAAATGACATTAAAATAAATCGGAAAGGATTGAAAAATGACTTTTAATGATAATTTGGAGTCATTTTGACATCATTTTGTCACGACTTCTGGTTCTGTTAGAGTAAAATCTATTTTGACTGAATAGGATTTCTCTTATTTAGTTAGATTTATTCTCATCGGTGTCAAAATTCGTAATTGTTTAATTATACAGTAAAATTTAATCAATTCTTTCTCTTATCTGTTTTTTTGTATACCTATTCCCAAGAAACTCACGTCAACGTTTTGACAGCGCGCATCCGTCTTTTCCTCCTTTCCGGCTTTTTTTTAAATAAATAATTCGTTTCGGACGCATTCGCGGGAAGGAGGCGGAGAGGGCGAGGGAGGCCTTCGCGCGCGCGTATCGATATCCACGAATATTTTTATCGAACGCGCCGACGGCCGGGTAACCTAACCCTTCTCCGCTCCTCGGCGTTCTCCGGCCATGCGAAAAGGGGAGGAAAAAGGAAACGTGGAAATCACGCGAGTCACATCCATATATCGCACGAATCGTCTCGCAGCACACATTAAATTCACAATGTCGGATTACACCCACAATTTGAGTCATTTTCTCTAATTTCTATAGGCCGCCACTACTATTCAATTCCTTAATCGGAATTCAAATAACTGAAACAATGCAGTTAGATTAAATTTACCTCACGAAAATATATTGAATCTGACTGGAACTTAGTTTATTATTTACTGAGTGCAACATTAATACGGACGTTGTTTACTTTGAAACCATCCGCAGAAATGGATTGATTGACATTTTGACACATGGGAGCTGAAAGTAACAAAACGTTATTTAAATTCAAAGGACTAAATTACCATTGGCTCCTTTGATATTTAACAGTACAGATACACACTTCTTTCTCCAGCGGCAATGCGGGAAAAGTCAGTCGGGAAGAAAACAGGGGAGAAAAGTAAAGAAAGAGAAGTAAAGAGGGTTCATTGATACTCACGATGAGAAACTCGACGTCGACGGGGAGCAGCGAGTTCTTCTCGCAGCCTGGCGGAAGAAACACACGGAAAGGAAGATTCGCGAAGAGGCCGGGTCGTCCGGTTATCGCGGCTCACCATCCGTGACACCTAGCAACCGCTCGCGTTATTTCGCTCATGTCCCCCGGACGTGCGATTCCCCCCCCAGGAGGGGGGCAGGAAGAGCGACAGAGAAGAAGAAAACCGACGGAGGAAAACGGAAAAAAAAATCAAAAGGAAAGGAGGAGAAACCTGCTGCCGGACGAACAACTTGAGCGAGCCGTGCCGATCACACCAGATCAGACGGAGACCACGGAGTGACTCGCGGATCAAAGCGGCGAGACTGGCCCCTCTCGACGAGGGAGGGGGGAGGGGATGGAGACGCGCGGGGGACGCACAGGCCATCCCGACCGCCGACGGTGGTGCCGACGGTGGTGCCGACGCGATGACGTCACCCCCGGGAACGTACACATACGCGCTTCTCCATTCCGAATTCCAACGGGGTCGGTAAGGCACGGAAGAGACGGTGAGACGCGATCGATTCTTTCCGAAACGCGCACCGCCTCCCCGTCCCGCCGTTTTGCTCGCTCGAGGGCGAATATGTATGGAAGTATATATGTGTACGTACACACGTAACGAAGAGAAACGCGAGATTAAAGCCTCACTGATGTCACGCACACATGGATGTGTCTCACGTTTGGTGAATTTACCTTTCGTTGACAGCCCCTGAAACGATCCACACTCCGACGTTCGTCGTGCCGCGAGATTATCGGCA